GCCTCAATCCGTTTGGTCATTGGCTCCCAAGGCCAACTCCCAAAGCCAACTCACAAGGACCTCAATACGGTGACTAACATCAGGCTGGCCTTCCGGTCCACTTTGCACTAGGGGATGGACGTGCGTTCTGAGAGTCCAATCCCTCATTTTTCTCCTCTCCTTCCTACTGTATAGAAAAAAATTGTTCTTTGCATTCTGGCTTCCCATGATATCGCTCCTCCAAAGGAATCGGGGCTGAACAACGCAGCTGCTAGGGTTTAACCTGATTAACCCTAACTCCAGACGATATGTCCACTTTTCACGCATGTGAGTAGGCCTCCTCCTTGATGCACTTCCCTTTCTTTTCTGAACATCAGGGTCACGGTCGTCCACGTTTTGGGACCACTAGGTCTGGGTTACGGGAAATATACCTGGAGAAGGTAAAGAGACGTTAATCTTCGAACTTTCATAACATACTCTGTGCATTGGTGTAAATGAAGGTTAGTTGGTAATTTGTCCGGGAAGTGGAAAAAGTCAGGCTCGACCCCCTCTTTACTGGGGCGACTGCGTGGACATCCGGAATGGACCCGTCCAAGGGGAGAACAATGGACGCTGGATCACTTAGTTGTTGTAAATAACCATATATCATCCTAAGTACTTTGACATTGTCATAACATATTTTTCAATTTTTTCGTGGTTTTCAAGGTTTAAAAATTTGCTTCATTTTATTTGCGAAAATCAAAACGTTATCAACGTTAATCTTTTATCTTGTATACTTATCGGCGGTCTCGTATCAAAATTACACCCACCTTTTTTTCCTGAGTCGGGGGCTATCTTGTGTTTTTGGCCCTAAAGTACAGAGGAGGAAAGGGGAAAATAAACTTTGAATTGGGCACTGATCACGACTTGCAATTTGTTCTACTTTGAATACTTACGAACAAAATGTAACTATATTTCGAGCAAATAACCATTTTGAATCAAAAAATGTAATATATAGAAATGGAGCAGAGGAGTGGTCAGCCTTGATTTCGTTCAAGGTATTTTAAGGAGATTTGGCAGATAATAAAGGGACAGGAGGCAGAAACCAGCCCCATGTTGGCTAATCGGGTTGGGCCTTGGCATCCCCTAGTTTAAAAAATGTGGTACAGTTAGAAAAGAGCTTCAGAGAAAACGACCTGTGACAATTTCTGGGCTTCTTACAACCAAAGACATTGAATGAACCAAAGAAAGGACAACAGTCGTCATTTGTTAGAAGGAAAAATGCAGTAATTTCTACGGTTCATTTTATCAAGGAGAAAAATATGCCATGTGAAACAACATTTTTGAATGGTACAGGTAGAAATATGTCACACATGAGAAGATAAATCTAACTCATTCATAAGGCCGAGGTCAAAATAATTATTTTAGGGTATGCCAAGCATTTCACTAACTAATGGCTGCTCACTCTTCGCTTGTAATCAAATAAAAGAACGCTGTTTGAATCGTTGCATTTTTCAGTCTCTGTGTCTAGTATCACTATAAAAAATTGTGCGCAAGTCATTATCCCTGGACCCGCCCTATTGTGGGCCACACTACGGACCTTGTCGGAACTGACGTCCGAACTGTCCTCTGGAATGTCACTGTTAGATGAGAATGTGGTAGACTGTGTTAGACGTTTGATTGCTTGACCCATGGGCTGAGCCACGTGCCTTCATCAAGAGAGCCCAATGGTGAAAATTCACACAAACTGATGGCCATGAGATAACGCCAGTTTACAGGCGCAGCCGTTACTAAGCGCATCTGGAGAAGGGCAACTTCGATTCCATTCAGCAGTTGCCTGCGTCAGCAGTATACTTGTAGGTTAGAGCTGTAGTCATCGTGGTCAGTTAGCAGCCAGTCTCCGGAAAATGGGGACATTGGAATGGTTCCCTTAGCGGCTCCTAAGTCCTAAACGAAATGATGTGGTTGGGAGGCCAACTGGCCACAAACATGATGGGTCACTTCATATGATGACAGAATATTTTGCCGCGAATGGCAAACTAGCTCTCGTATTTAGCAGTTTATGAGTTCACCGTTGGGACACAGCACTGATTTGAGGTGAGGCCATTTCACTCTCCTCACCTGCACTGCTATGTCAAAGGTTTAGGGATGACATCCGTCTAGATTCGGCGCGGTTTGGAGGAAACCATTTTGTTCCATTCATGCACAATGAGTACCAGGATGACGTCAAATGGGCATTTCGTGATAGCCAAAGAGATCAATGTCTGGTAGATTCGCTTTAAACACGTCGGAGTTAACAATTTCGGCCGCTCTGACTTTGTTAGCTACTTGAAAGCTACAGGTTCATTATAAATAAATAAATTGTATATTCAAGGCCCAAGGAGCCCTCTTATTACAATTCAGTTCGATACAAGTTTTTTTCTACGAATGAAAGGGTTCGTTTAGAATCTAAGAGTTAACGTGTAGAAACAATGTTAACAAGTTTTCATTCAGGATAATATGGACCGTCAGATGGTGCAGTGGTGTTTCAAGGTTAATTTGTCACATTGTTCACAATGTGCTGTAAAATATGTATATCAAGTCGGTGTTTGAATGTTTCCACAGACTGGGACATAACAATCGCCTCGGGAAGGTTATTCCACGGGTCTACGACCCGATTAGAGAAAAAATTCTTCCGTACATCCAATCGTCCTTGGGGCACATACAGTTTTACGGGATGTCCCCGGAGATTAGTTGTAGTGGCGAGTTGA